CTTTAAACTTGATTTAAACATATAATTTAAGGCAGGATTTAAAATTTCAAGAAATCACATTAGGAACTGAGAAATATTCTACCTTTTTTTTAGTTGAAAAGATATGATGTCATTCTTTTTAGATTTTGTATCATATAACAAGATGCTTTATCATGTGAATGGCTAAAACACATACTTTCCTGAAAACTTGAGGAGCTAGCTCTCAATTTCTCACTATAATACAATAAAATGGTAAAATAACCTAACCAAAGTTAATATTAAGAAATAAAAAGCTAGGGGGGGAATGAAAAGCTTCTTGGAAATAAATTTTCCTTAGGAATGGTTTTCTATATGATGATTTTAATAGTATGTGTAAAACAGCCACAGTACTAATTTATTTTCTATTTTAAGCACACACTTAATGTCAGCTTTGTGGCATTTTTATGAGTTTATCATATGATCATCTTATGTTCAAGTTCTAATTTTTCTATGACTTGACACAGAGACTACATCATTAAAAATAATCATAACCAGGCTTGTTCCTGGGTATGTTTGTCATAATGTGTTTATCTGGACATTATAAAACTTACCTTGTGATCACTGAATTCAAGTAATAGACTCTAAATCTAACTTATAGTTATGGTCATGTTTTAAACTCTGGTGCCTTGAAAATATACTACCATCTGCTGAAGCTGGTTTGGCTCAGTGGTAGAGCATCGGTCTGCGTACTGAAAGGTCCCGAGTTCAATTCCGGTCAAGGGCATGTACATTGGTTGTGGGCACATCCCCGATGGGGGGTGTGCAGGAGGCAGCTGGTCGATATTTCTCTCTCATCGATGTTTCTAGCTCTCTATCCCTCTCGCTTCCTCTCTGTAAAAAATCAATAAAATATATTATAAAAAAAGAAAATATACTACCATCTTATTGATATGAATATCTTTGCAAAATTACATTGAGATTAGCTTAGGCACTTGATATAAATTTACTAGTAGGTTAAATTTTTGGTGATGTCTAATTTTACACCAGATCACAAAACAATAAGTAGATATTGAACACATTTCATTAAAAATATGCAGCTCCATAGAGAATTATTGAGAAGCATTGTTAAACAAACACAATGCTTATTCAATTGCTTCCTAAATTGACTGTGGAGTGGTCTCTCTTTTGACTTGTAACTATTCCACATTTACCCATTAAAAACTTTGGAACAGCCTTATGAAATAGATTAGAGTTTGCAAGCATTATTTCCTTAGAAAATCCTCTTGCCAAAATGAATGATTCTTATATTAAATTCAGTTATTTTATGTGTCTATAGAGTCTGTTCAGATAATTAATGTTATTTTTTATATTTTTAAGTTCTAGAATTTAGACTAGGGGTTACTATGAGTAATATGTATCTAATATAACCTATACCTTTTTTTTTTAATGTGATCTTTATTGTTCAAAGTATAACAGATGTCCTCACTTTTATTTCCCATTGACCCCTCCACTCCATAATCACCCCTCCCAAGCCTGCACCACACTATTGCCTATGTCCATGGGCAATGCATATCTATAATAATGAAAGTATAATATGCTAATTAGACCAGATGACCTACCAGATGAAGCCAGGGCTGTGAGAGAAGCCTGGGTTCCAGGTTCCTGCTGGCAGCTGGATGGAAGCTTGGGTCTCAGGTGCCAGAGGGAAGCCAGGGCTAGCAGCTGGGGGAAGGAAGGCCTACTCTTGCACAAATTTTGTGCATTGGTTCTCCAGTATGCATTTAAGTTATTTGGTTGATCTCTTCTGATCTCAGCCTTCTCTCTGAGATTCCACAATCTGCTTCTATGTTTCCGGATCTATTTTGTTCATTAGTATATTTTGTTCATTAGATTCCACATATGAGTGACATCATGTGATACCTTTTTCTGACTGGCTTATTTCACTTACCATCATACTTTCAAGGTCCCTCCAATATTGTCTCAAAGAGTAATAGGTAGTTGTTTTTTACAGTCTCATAGTATTCCATGGTATAAATGTACCACAGTTTTCTTACCCACTCTTCTACTGATGGGCACTTGGGCTATTTCCAAATCTTAGTTATTGTAAATTTTACTGCTATAAACATATGGGGTGCATATATTCTTTCTTTCTTTTCTTTTCTTTTAAATATATTTTATTGATTTTTCACAGAGAGGAAGAGAGAGGGATAGAGAATTAGAAACATTGATGAGATAGAGTCATTGATCAGCTGCCTCTTGCACACCCCCTACTGGGGATGTGCCTGCAACCAAGGTACATGCCCTTGACCGGAATCGAACCCGGGACCTCTCAATGTGCAGGCTGACGCTCTATCCACTGAGCCAAACTGGTTTTGGCCATATATTCTTTCTTATTGGTGTTTTGGATTTCTTAGGATGTATTCCTAGAAGTGTGCTTCTTGGATCAAATGGGAGTTCCATTTTTAATTTTTTTAGGAAATTCTAACTTTTTTCCATAGTGACTGCACCAGTCTGCATTCCCTCCAGCAGTGTACTACAATTCCTATACTTTTTAAAGAAAATGTGACTTTTTAAAAGATGAATAAGATCAAAGTATTTGTAATAAATACTTTTATTATGGGCTTCAGTATTGTGATGTTTAACACAGTAGGTCATTATCAGTGCCTGGGGCCAATTGAGGTGGGCTGGCTGGAGGGAGGGGCCTTGGGAAGTTGGTCCACTAGTTGGGGGGAGGGGTCTTGGGAGGTTGACTAACTGTGGGAGGGTGGCTATAGGAGCACACTGACCACAAGGGGGCAGTTCTTGCTTTGAGCTTATGCCCCCTGGTGGTCAGTACACATCATAGCAACCAGTCAACCAGTCATTTGGTCTTTCCGTCATTCGGTCATGCAGTCTTCAGTTGCTTAGGCTTTTGATAGAAGATAAATAGATAGATAGATAGATAGATAGATAGATAGATAGATGATAGATAGATACCAGTTTTATAAGTGTACTAGGGGTGTCGAACTCAATCAGAGAAGGGGCCAAAATCTAAAATCCAGCCTAAATCGCGGGCCGAATGGTTTACTGAACAGTCATAAACTCTCATTGTGATGGAAACGCAGCGGAGTGCAGTGATGACAGCGCGGTGCGGGCCACATTGCAAGGCCTGGTGGGACAGATTTGGCCCGTGGGCCTTGTGTTTGACACATGTGGTGTACACTATTATTTATTTGAGATAATATTTACCTGATATTTTTACTCCAACTTTTGAGTATTCTGTTTCTTAATGTACCATGTAATTATTAAGTACAGGAACTATTATGCCTTGAAACTCTAGAGGCAGTAGAACATGATGGGACATCCTATAGCTCTCTCTTGGCTGGGATGTGTAAACTCCATATACAATTTCAGCTTTTGTTGTTAATCATCCAGAATAAGGTTTTCAAACTCACTGACTAAAGCCCTTCGAATGCTTAGATTGGCAAAAAAAAAAAAAAAAAAAAAAAAAAATGTCTACTGTTTGTTTTAATTTAATTTAAAGGACAGTGCATGTTGTAGCCATTACAAGGTTCCACCCATAAACACTGAACAGTCCTACTTGTGTGCAATAGTAGTTCTTTACAATTCAGTAACACCTTGATACTTCATTCACATTCAATCAACATTTTAAATTGAGAAGTTAACACACTAACACTCATATGTGTTTAGAGTTCATATATTTAGATCCAATATGTTGATATATCACAAGTATATAATACAAACTAATTATGACAGTCAGAAAACTCTATTTTACTTTATTTTAGTCCCTTTCTTGTGAGTTTTAACTAATTTTAATAATTATTTTTCTACCGTTATATAATTTTTAGAATCCTAGCTTAAGAATAACATTAAAAATAATCTATTCTAGGACTCTATGTAAATATTTCTCTCAATAATATTATCTAATAGAAGTCCTCCAAACTCTGAGTGAAAGTCTCAGAACAAAGGAGTTACTGTCTCTTAATTGCAGCCTATTCTAGTGTGGAGATTCCTACCTGCTTGATTCTTCTTTCATATATTTAACAAGTTCATCCTCTACAAATGAGAGCCATTCTTGCTTTTATTTTTCCATCTAATGCAACACATAGTATTGGCATTACTCCACTAGATGTCATATATGTAGCTCTTCTTCCATTCCTTTAATATATCCTTTGACTTCACTTATGAAAGGATATGGCATTAAATATCACACCATATTTATTTATATATACATATCACACCATATTTATTTATATATACATATCTATATATAGATATATAGATATATTTAAATATCCTAGTCAATTGATCAGCATTCACTTGTTATCACAAGCCTCATCCTTCTTTATGAATTCATCAAATTTGGTTGTAGTATATAGAGTTCACTGAATTAACAAATTCATCTAGTAATATCCAAGGCACAATTTGGCAAATCTTGCATTATAGGTAACTTGAATGTATGTCTAAAATCATGTGTTTCTATAATAATAACTGCATGTTTTCATAGGAGAAAATAGGGGGGGGAAAGGTTAGCAGTAAAATTCAGCTAAACATAGATTATTATATTTATAAGTTAATGTTTATTAATTCTTTTACTTCTAATAAACTGATTTCAAATGGATATCAGTACATAAAAATTTTATCCTGTGGTTCAAACCAACAGTATTTGGCAACACTGAGCTGTGATGAATACCTCACATCCACACCCCAAAACTTTAAATATTTATAGGAGCCAGGCAAAAATATAACTGAGTGAAATTGACAAAGTCTAAAACAAAAAGTCTAAAACTGTGGCACACTTGATTGAACATGAACCATCTAAACAGAGCAACTGCAACTCATTTCTTACCAACAATCCAAAAGAAGAAATGTGGGCCGCTTGTGGCCATATTTCAAATGTCTTTGTTTTTAAATGTTGACTAGAAATGACTTTTTTTAATTTGATCACTTCTCAGTCTTTTGGCTAAGTTCAAGAGTAAAAAATTTATGAGCATCCACATATACATTGGCTTAATTCTTTCCTTGGTCAACAAGTTAAGCCAATGCAAAAGAGTTTCTATGACATATCTGAGGTAAGTATGTCCAAGTCTCATAGTAAGAGCTTTTTAACTAATTATGTCCCAAAAGGTTTGTGAAATTCAAAGAACAGAGATAATTAAAATCAAAATATCTTAGTCCATCAGGTTGCTGCAACAGAATACAATAGACTGGTAGTTTATAAACAACAAATATGTTTCACATTGTTCTAGAGTTGGGAAAGTCTAATATAAAGACACCAAAGGATTCAGTGTCTTTGAGGGTATGTTTCCTGGTTCATAAGCAGCCACCTTGTCCCCTTGTGCTCACATGGTGAAAAGACAGGGCAGTTCTTTTGATTAGCTTTTTAGATCAGGTAAATACTCAAAGCTTCCAGAACCCACCTCTGCCTACAGTTCCATTGACACTCAGACTTGATTAGCCTTGGGCTATTGATGACAGGGATGGGTGAGAAGTCTTCTAATAGGAAGGGGAAATTGTCTTCCCACCAGGCAAAACTCTCCTGGATAGCAAAGGTTCTCTGAAGGAAGATTTCCTCTGCAATGTGAGGGAATGACTCAGCACAGAAAATCAGGGTGACTGCCCTTCGAGCTCCAACCCAGAGCCCACAACCCTGGCTTCTCACAGAACTCTATTCCGCTCTGCCTTCCTTCTGCTGGAGCCCAAGATGAGTGGCACATGAAATTTTATATATTAGTCCTTTAAGAGAATTCCTACTACAGCTATCTCTCACCAGCAGACAGCAACCCTGATGCTTTTCATAGCCAGGTGTTATATGGGCACTTTTCTCAGTTCTAGTGCTCTTGGCTAGGGAGCCCAGCTTGGAATTTAGACCCCAGAGTTATCAATGGGAACTCTACACAATTAAGATATCCCTTAGAGGCCCTCACGTGAGCAGAAGCTTACGCGTTTAGACGTCCTTCTAATCTTCATCTTTGTTTGGTCGCTTGCCACCTGCCTATTCCCCATCGTGCGGGTGGGCCTGTAGCTAGGGAAGGAGGAGGAGCAGGCTGGCTGTGTGGCTGCTGGTGTGGTGATCGGGGCTGGCGCCTGCTACTGTATATACAGACTGAGCTGGGGAAGAGATGACAACGAGAAAATCTGGGACTACAATGATGATGACGAAGATGGGGAATCTAGTGATATTATAGAAATTGGGGTGGAGGCTGGGAAAGGAGCTAATACTGCAGTGGGGGGCAGAGCTAGATTTCAGGGTGACTCAAAGGCCAAAGTTAAAGTGGGCAAGGAACTCAAGAGTGGTCCAGATATAAAAATGGAAGCCCACTCAGGAACCCAGAGAGGAAGTGGCCTAGAGGCCAAGGCCAAGGCCCTTTTCAGCACACTGAAGGAACAGGCAAGTGCAAAGGCAGGCAAAGGGGCCAGGTTGGGTACCATCTCAGGGAGCAGGACTCTTGCATCGAGTTTACCCTGCCCAGGAGGCAGGGGTGGAGGCTGCCACCCCACCAGGAGTGGAGCTAGGGCTAGGAGCAGGGCAAGTGGAAAGTCCAAGGGAAAGGTCGAAGCCAAGTGCACCAGAACTCCAGCTACCACATGGCCTGTTCACAGGGGCAAGTTCAACTTTCCCTATAAAATTGGTGATATTTTAGGTGCTACAGACCTTCAAAAGGTCCTTGACATCCTGGAAAGAACAAGTGATCCTTTTATTCAAGAAGTAGCCTTGGTCACTCTTGGTAACAGTGCAGCATATTCATTTAATCAAAATGCCATTCGTGAATTGGGTGGTCTCCCAATTATTGCAAAACTGATAAAAATGAAAGATCCCATTATTAGAGAAAAGGCTTACAATGCTCTTAATAACTTGGGTATGAATGCTGAAAATCAGGGCAAGATTAAGGCATATATCAGTCAAGTGTGTGATGACACCATGATTTGTTGCTTGGACTCAGCTGTGCAGATGGCTGGACTAAGACTGTTAACCAACATGACAGTGACTAATCATTACCAACATTTGCTTTCCTATTCTTTTCCAGACTTTTTTGCTTTGTTATTCCTGGGAAATTACTTCACCAAGATTCAGATTATGAAACTACTTATAAACTTTATTGAAAATCCAGCCAGGACAAGAGAGCTGGTCAGTTGTAAAGTACCATCAGAATTGATTTTCCTCTTTAATAAAGAATGGGACAGAGAGATTCTTCTTAATATCCTAACCCTATTTGAGAATATAAATGATAACATAAAAAATGAAGGGCTTGCATTATCCAGGAAAGAGTTTAGCAGAAGTTCAATTTTTTTCTTACTTAAAGAATCTGGGTGTGTGTTAAAAAAATTAAAGCATTAGCAAATCACAGTGATCTGGTGGTGAAAGTAAAAGTTCTCAAAATACTGACCAAACGCTAATCAGGGGTCTGTCTCAAATAATATAGAGATATGTTTTTTAAGTTTGCACTTGGGAAAAATACATTTTGTAAATTCTTTGTTTTTCACTGTGATTATATGGCATAGAGATACTTTCAGCTGCTATTTTGGAATAATGAATATCACAGATCAATAGTAATGCTGGCTGTGATGGTTGGTTTTAGGCTGGACCATTTTAAGGATGCCAAATGAATACTAAAGCTTGTAAAAACAAAGCACTTAGTGGATTCCATCTTGCTACCTAGATTGAGATATTTTTACTCTTTACCTAAACTGACAGCAAACTAATCATAAATAACCTACACTTTTGTATTGGTTTATATTTGTTAATCTTTAAACTTGTGTTTTATCAATAAAGTTATGTGTTTTAACCAGCAAAAAATAAAATAAAATAAAGTTATCATGTTCTTAAAAAAAAAAAAAAAAAGATATCCCTTAGAAACTTCAGCTGTAGTCTATGGAGCCCGGCCAGCCCTTTCAGGCCTCTGCACTGACTACCAGTCTCTATGTGGTTTCCACTTTGCATCCTTGATTATCAGGGTTCCCTCCAACTAGTCTTCAGTTGATTTTTCAGGGTGGTTTTTCTGTATTTAAGCTGTATTTTCATTTTGTTCCTGAGATAGTGTCAGTGTAGCTTCCACTTTCTCTGCCACCATTTTGGAATAAAATTTAACATATTTAAATTTACCAAAGTCTTCATGAAAAATATATCATTGGGAAGAACCATTAAAAGACAAGATTTTAGTTTGCCAAGATGGAGGGAATTAACATCTTTAGTAAGACATAAGATTTCAAAACACAGGATATTTTTAGAGGAGAAGATAGATCAGACATTGTTGTAGCACTTTATTTATTTAAGGAATTATGGGTCATCAGTGCATCCACTAACAAATATTTAGCAAAAGTTATATACTATGCATTAATATCTGTACTGTATAGAATACAATGGTAAAGTAAGCAGTCAGAGGGTGTGTGTGTGAAAGAGATAACAGATTCACCTTACCTAAGACACAAATAACATGTCTAGAAGTTACCATAAAATTCGTGGAATATATATTTTAAACTCAGTAAGGACACATATGTAATGCAGTAATCAATAAAGAGGAAAAAAATATTTAAAGCAACAACAACAAATCATTGGAGTTGGTAAAACCAGAGCAGTGATAACATATTTGATAATAGTAATATGGAAAATGAGTAATATGGAAAATAAAAAATTGAAACAGGATAACCAATAAATAAATATTAATAGCATGAATAACTTCAAAACCATTTGAGGAAAAAGATAGGAGTAGTAAAGAAGCATAATGAAAAAAGATCAGAAAGTGAATGGATAAAAAAGAAACAAAAAGAACATAAAATAAAACATTATATTGCAGTTATATGTTCAAGTAGTAATAACAATTACTACAGTTATTGTTTCCCAGGAGATACTCCAATATACTAATTAATTCAGTATGTAGTTACCAGATTTTTGGGTGTTTTTTTTTTACATATTATCAGATTTTTTTTATTTTTTTTATTTTTTTTACATATTATGAAACTGAGGCACAGAAAGGCTAGGAGATTCTCTCAAAGTGAATATTAATTTTCAAAATGATATTTAAATGCAGTCTGGAGTGAGAGTCTGTTTTGTAATCACTATTGCCTCTCTTTAAAAAGAGCAGCTTGTGATGAAATTTAAGTAGTGCATAGGCCAAGTGTTGACTTTGTTGAAATTGTCAAGAATTTTCATCTTAATCTGAGATTAAAAGGTTGTAAATAGTAAATACACCAAGAAGAAAGAAGTTGAAGACCATGGAGGGAAGGTCCCAAATGGTCAGTAGAGAATTACAAAGCTGAGAGAGAAGAGGATGAGGTTAATTCTATTACATGAAAATGTAAAATGTTACACAGTCAAAATTAACAGGCCACAGGAAAAAGATAGATAGATGACAGTTGATAAGATGATAGATGATAGATGATAGATGATAGCTAGCTAGCTAAATGATAGAAGATAGATAGATAGATAGATAGATAGATAGATAGATAGATAGATAGATGATAGATACTTTAAGATCTGTAGTTTGTATAATTTGAGGAATGGAAATGTTATTAACAGAAAATAAAAACCCTGTCTGCATGTGCTAACTGGAGATATGTGAATACCTGAATCTGTGTTAAATTTGGAATATTAGTTATAAATTCAGACATATTCTTTAGTAAATTTAACGGAACTTTAGTATCTGTAAAGGGTCACAAGTAATCATTTGTCACTATATTGAGATGATATTTATTAAATGAAGGAATAAGAAAATAAAGGAATCTAAATGCAAAGAGCCTATGGATATTAAAAATTTAGGGTGAAGAGAAAGAATACATGATAATAGAAAGACGAAGTTTTAGGAAGTGCAGTTGGCAATGTTAAATATTTTAGAAGTTAAGAAAGTTCTGAATATTCATTAGGCCAGGTAAATAGGGTGATTGATCATTTTATAACAATGATTAGGAAAGTTAGAATGCAAAAGTTTTAAGAGTTAAGACAATGAGGAAAACTTGTATTCTTACTGGACATTTAGAGAGTAAATGGAAAAGTTGAGATAAAGAAAGTTTCATTGAAGAGCATAATCATGTAGGAAGAACTAGATTTAAGACCATCCATAAAATTAATCTATGCAAGAAATAAACTGTCTGGGGGAACTTTATAAGGGGAAAATATAAAGTTTTAGTGAAATAATAAGCTATATAAGAGTGAAGATAAAGATACATGTCATAACCACATTTCATTAACTTATAGGTAAAACTGTTTGAGAAAAAAGGAGATAAGATACTTTAAAAAATAAAGAAGTTTTCCTAAGTCAACAGGAATACAGATAAGAACCTTATATTTTAGCAATGTTCATAAGGCCATATCACTCACTGGATGAGAGGTTTGTCTAACTGAGCAGGAGGGTTAGAGGAGAGGAATCTGTGTCTTTATATATTTTGTTTAGGCACTTTGATATCGAGCCTCCAAAATTACCTCCAGTGGCCAACACATATTATTTACACCCTCCCACACTGTACCATAGATGGTCCACCTAGTTAATAGCATATGCCAGAAGTGGTAGTATGTCACTATGTATTAGCTTATGAATGACTATTTTCAATCTTTCATACTTACACACACACACACACACACACACACACACACACACATTCTCTGTCTTGGATCACTCACTCTGGAGGAAGTTGGCTGTCATGTTGTGAGCATCTGTACAGGGTGAGGTAAGAGGCCGTAGCCTTTGATCAGCAGCTAGTGGGGAATGGAGGGCTGCCCACAACCATGTAAGGGAGCTTCGACGGATCATCCCACACCAGCCAAGCTTCCAACAACTGCAGCCCCAGCCAACATCTTGACCACAAGTTCATGAGAGACCCTAACAGAACCAGTCAACTACACCACTTCCAGATTCCTAACTCTCAAAAATCATATAAGATAATAAGTGTTTGTTTTCTAAGCTTTATTTTATTTTTCAGTTAAAATGATAAATTTATTTAAACAACTTGAAAAAGATCCCGAGTCACATTTTAACATAGCAGATGGAGACAGTGCAAACAAATGTATTAAAAAAATGTTCACCATAAAAAAGGCCTAGGTAGATGGAATTAAGATGAAAGCGAGTTAACATTATATGCATTTCTGGGGTTACTATTTGAAAAGTTTAACCATCGTATGTCCTTGCACAGTAACAGAAAAAAATGGAATTTTTATATACTGTGGGTTAGTGGAGAGGCAAAGGGAATGACCATTTTGGATCACAGTTCCACATATCTTAAATGTAAAACATTCATCTACACAATGTTTGAAAAGTAAAACATCTGTCTGTATAGAGAACTGAATACAAATATTCCCAGAAGATCCTATCTAATAACAAGGAAATGTGCAAATTAATCATCACACTGTCACAAAGATGGCGGCACCCATAGCCACAAGGTGGCAGTGGAGAGTCCCCTCAGCCCTGCTGGATTCCCCCAGTCCTTTCACCCCCGCTGGCGGGTGAGGTGGGCAGCAGGCCATCAGCAGCCGAACCCACCTTCAGACCCCCAGCCGCCCAGGGCCAGCCAAGGGGCAGACAAGCCCTGGATGGTGGCTGCCCAGCCTACACCCCAGGCACAGGTAAGCCTGTTTTTTAACAACAATAGAGAATTAATAGAAGTATTGCAACTATCATACAGACTACAAAATTATTTCATTCTTAAAACAAGTTGAAAATAACTCATGTTGTTTAACTTGAGAATACTGGTGCTGGGAAGGACCTTAGAATTTGTTATCCATCCCTTTTATTTTGTAGGAAGTGATCTGAGATTCAATCAAGTTGAGTCAGTTGCCCAAAGTCAAATAACATAATTGACAGGATTTAAATTTTACCACAGGTCTTTTGTCTTCCGGTTCAATACAAATTTACTACTCCATGCAATAATTATGAGACACATTTCATGAAGACTATCTCTTTAGAAGTATCTTTAAATTATAAAATTTAAAATCTCCCTGTGGAAAATTCACCTAATAGAAAAGTAATCTTCTGTTACTTTGGTGACTGAGTTTTGTCTTAATACAGTTTCTATAAAGAATTTAACACTCATTAAGGGAATTTGCAACAGAATAATTGTTTTCTTATACAAGTATTATATGTTTTGCTGATTCCTTAAAACCATGAGACATATCTTTGTAATTGGAAAAACGGTATAGTGTCATAGAGCATTTGAAATTAAAAATAATTTTATTTTCCTGCCTTTTGTGTCCTCCAGAAAAATGGACATTTAAAAGACTCGTGACTCACAGTAAGAAAGACACAATTATTTCTTTAATAGTATCTAGTCAGATCTGGAAACCTTTTATGTGCTTCCTGGAAATATTAAAGAAATCATAAGGCTTTTTAGTTGTTAAAGACCCTTACTGTTTCTACCTTGCTTCAATTCCACCTTCACTTATCCAGCATTGCAGCAAAGCTGCACCTTTAAGCATATTCCAGCCTAATAATCAGGTATCTGCTGAGAATGATGCCAAGTTGTCTAGGCATGTGTGGGCTTTCTCTGAAATATTATCTGTCTTAAATCTTCTTAAATGATACATCTTCAAATGTGATCTGTGAGCTTCAAGTGTCTTCTGTGAGCTCATTATTATGGTAAAAAGAACAAAGGGACAAAGGATGGTAAGCGGGAACCTCCTGCTTGAATTTGTCAGATAAAGTCAGACAAAATTAGTTTACTCTGAGAAAGATTTCTTTTTGTTATAAAGGAATATGTTGGTAATAGTGCTTATGGGCACATTTTTTAAAATGTCATGGAAATAAGACTTATCATTAGCAACTTGATTAAAAGTAACAGAATAACATTTTAGCCTCTTTTTTTTGATAAAAT